AATCAAAATAAAAACAAATAACAAACCTTATTTTTTTAATATACCTTTTAAATTCTGATTCCAATGTCCGATTTAGGCATATAATCAATGCTTAATTCTGAAAAGCGGTAAATCCACAGCATAAAAATTAATGCGGATTTTACCGCCATTCTTTTCGCCAGGAACTGTAAATTTAATTGATTATTTACTAAAAAAAACTTGAGGGACGAATAATCCGATAATATATTCTTATTTTGTAAGCGTACGATATTCTTTGAATTTCTTGTGTAAAAATTAAAACAATTTTCGTACAATATTTTAACTAGTATTTAATTCAAGTAAAAATTTATTTATTTATTTATTTAATAAAAAAGTATATCAAAATAAAATAAAAATATAAATAAATAAAAATTATGCAGGTGGAGAGAGTCCAATAATTTAATCTTGATGAATTTCTAGATAATATGTTTTGTAAAATGGGCAAATTAATTTAGAATAATGAGCTAAATTACACTATTATATACCTTTTCTTTTTCCTTCAGTTTCGACAATATACTTTAAATTTAGCCTTAATTCTTTAATTACTCCATTTTTAGTAGATGCGGAGTTATTCTGAGGATCTGGTCGATATTGAACTTTCTCTAAATAAAAATAAAATTATTTATTTATTTTTAAATATTTTAAAAATACACAATTATATTTTCTTACAGTCGACTTTATATTGATGTCCATTTTTAAAAAGTATTTAAATTATTTTGGACAAAAGGCAAGTTTATATAAAAATTAAATCAAATCTAATTAGGTTATCAAACGCCAAACGCCAAGAAAATTACATCAACCAGATTTTCCATTTGATTAATGAATTATTTGATAAGTATATAGTGGTGATCATAAATAATGCAACAAAAAAATTAATCATTTAAATTTAAATATTTCTTTCAATTCTAAAGATATCCCACCCTCTTTAATAAAATTTTATTTGTTAATACCATTAATTTTCGGTATTAAAATTTTTAATATTCATCAATACTTCCGGTTATAAAATAATATGCAATTTGTATAAATTACGCGTTACATTACTTTTGATTGTTTTTAATATGAATCAGATGATCATTATTGTGCTACATAAAAATTTGTATAAAAGATATTTTTATTTATTTATTGTTTGATCCTGTGATATGTCACAACTACTTAATAAACAAGTGATAGCAAAAAAGTATCATACAACTCCTAATGAAAGGACACAAATTCTCCTTTCATTACAAAATGGATACACAACAAGAGAAGTAGCAAAGGCTCAAAAAATTGCACCTTCTAC